TCATCACAGTGGAATTTTAACAATACATCAATGCACCATCACAGTGGAATGTTAACAATACATCAATGCACCATCACAGTGGAATTTTAACAATACATCAATGCACCATCACAGTGGAATGTTAACAATACATCAATGCACCATCACAGTGGAATTTTAACAATACATCAATGCACCAGCACAGTGGAATTTTAACAATACATCAATGCACCATCACAGTGGAATGTTAACAATACATCAATACACCCCTACAGTGAAATCTCAACAATTGATCAATGCACCCCTGTAGTGGAATGTCAACAATCAATCAATAGACCATTAGAGCGAAATCTCAACAATCCATTAATACAACCCATAATGGAAATGTTCACAGTTAATGCTTTCAGTTATATATTTCTCAAAGAAAACCCACCCAACAACTGACTCCAAATCAAATGACGTCATAGATAAGCAGGGGTAAATTAAACACCGTGTCGAGTACGGATTTCCGCGTTTTTAATTCCAGGTCGGCTTCCACTTATCATATTTTTCTAATAATGTTGGTCATTGTACTAATATTATTATAGCAATTGTTTCAGTTTGTTAATTTTGACTCACCCTCGTTTCGTTCTTGTAGTTGACATCACAATTGCTTTTCCCAATCAGTTTCTTCGCATCCTTATATTGCCCAGAATCCACCGCGTTCCACAGCAGTTTGCTTTTGTCGTCGGCCTGCATATAACAGTATATAGGGACTCAGTTTACTCAGTCACTTCAATTGACATCGTTACGTCAGTGTTCTAGATGATGACTAAATATCACTTCACATTGAACAGCACATTAAAATGATGATGATGATGATGATGATGATGATGATGATGATGATAGCCAATTCATTTGTTATTACTTCATCTGTCATGTTGTTTCATTGCATGTAATAAATATATATAGTGTGCTTTCGTGCCTTTCTTTTCATTAAATATTGAATACTAGGTTGTTGAATAACTAGATATACATCTAACTCTTGATACATCACATATGAGTATCTCTAAATGCTGTTATCTCGAAGGAGTAATAAATTCGTATT